GGCCGAGGGCGACGCGCTGCGGATCGAACTCGAGGAAGCGGCCGAGGCGAGGGATGAGGCGCAGCAGGAGGAGCAGGCCGCCACGATGCGGCTGCGCGAGCAGGCCGCCGCGTCGGACCGCCTGCAGCAGCGGCTGCTGGCGGCGGAGCAGCGGGCGGAGGAGCTCGCCGGGCGCCTCGCGATGGCGGACGCGGCGGCGTCGGCAGCGGCGCACGGGGAGGGCAGCGCCGGGGCCGCCGCCGAGGAGGCGGCGCGGCGGGCGGCGGTGCTTGAAGGAACGGTCGAGCAGCTGCAAAGGGAGTTGCAGGTGGAGCGGGCGCGCGCGGAAGAAGCTTCCACCCAGCTGCAGGAGGCGCGCGTCGCGGCCGCCACGCTCCTGCAGGAGTCGCAGGCCGCCGCAGACCTGCAGCAGCAGCTGGAGGAGCTGCGGCATGCGCTGGCGCAGGAGCAGCGACTTGCGCATGCAGCCGCTGCGGAAGTTGAGCAGGCGCGGGCCGCGGCCGATGCGCTACGCGCAGAGAATGAGGCCGACACCGAGCGGCTGGCCGCAGTGCTGCGCGAGGCGCAGATGGCGGAGCAGCAGCTCGCGGAACAGGCCGCCGTTGTGGAGGAGCTGCAGCAGCGGGTGTCTGCAGCGGAGCAGCGGGCGTCTGACCTGGCAGGCCGTTCGGAAGCTGCCGATGCCGCTTTGGCCGCCGCCGCAGACGAGCAGCGCGGCGCGCGCGCGGCGGCGGAGGACGCGGCGCGCCGCGCGGAGCAGCTGCAGCAGCGGGTGGACGAGTTGGAACGGGCCTTGGCCGACCAGCGCGCGCGCGCGGACGAGGCGGCTTTGCTGGCAGGGCAGGCCGAGGGCGCAGCGGACCTGGAGCAAGCGCTGCAGGCCGAGCGCGCGCGCGCGGACGCGGCCGGCGCGCAGCTGGAGCAGGCGCAGGCTGCCGCGGCGGCCGCCGCCGCGCAGGCGGCGTCGCGGATGGAGGTGGCAAAGTCCAAATTCATGGCGATGAAGGCCAAAGCGGAGAAGCTGCAGCAGGCGCTGGAGCAGGCCGAGCAGCAGGCAGAGGGCGAGCGGCGGCGCGCCGAGTCGCTGGGGGCGCAGCTGCGCGAGCAGGAGGCCGCCGCGGCGGCCGAGGCGTCGCAGGAGGCGCGGCGGGCGGAGGCGGCGGCCGCAGACGCGGAGGATGCGCGCAGGCAGGCGGGGCGGCTGCAGCAGGCGATGGAAGCCGAGCGGGCGCGCGCGGACGAGGAGGCCGCGCGCGCGGACGCGGTCGCTGCGCAGCTGTCGCAGCAGCGAGAGGCGGCGGCCGGCGCCGCGGCGCAGGCGGCCGCGGCTGTGGAGCGGCTGGGCCGAGAGCTAGCGGCGGCGCAGGAGGAGCAGGCGCAGCTGCGGGCGGCTGCCGCCGAAGCAGAGCGCTTGGGGCGCGAGGTGGAAGCGCTCAGGGCGGACGTGGCGGCGGCGCGCGAGGCCGCGGCGCACGCCGAGACGCAGCACCAGCAGGCAGCGGCCTCTGCCGGCGCGAGTGAGGGGCTGCAAGCCGAGCTGGACGCGGCGCTGCAGCAGCTGGCCGACGCGCGCGCGGCCGCGGCGCTCGCGGCGCGCGAGAGAGAGGCGGCCGCGGAGGGGGAGCGCGCGGCGCGGCAGGCGCTGGCCGAGGCGCGGGCGGCGGCGGGAAGGGTCGAGCGGGAGGCGGCCGAGCGGAACAGGCGCTTCTTGGCGCTGCAGCGGAGCAATAAGGCGACTGAGGAGCAGGTGCGGCGGAGGGGACCGCCAGGGGTCAGCGGGGCGGCGTGTCCGCGTCACAGGCAGCGTTGTGCTGGATGTTCTGTAGTACGCCGCTGATTATCGGCCGAGCATGTGGCATGCTCGCTCTCTTCCCCACACAATATCCACATGCACACCAAAACCACATGTCCTCATACGCAATTGCCTGCCCCGATGTCACTCCAACCATCATCGGCAAGCGACTGACGGTCGCACTCCCTACCCCAAACCGCACACCCCTTGCGCGCGCCCCCGACCAGCTGCGGTCCCAGTTGGCTGAGGTCACGGGCCAGCTGGAGGGTTACGAGGCTGACGTTGCCGCTGCGTCCCAAAAAGCACTCGACGCCACCGCTGCTGCCGAGGTGCGCTCGCACATGCGCGCGTGCGCGCGCCCCTCTCAGCGACGAGCGTCCCCGGCTCCATGCGAATATGTCAACGGCCGCCGAAAGGCGGCTTTGGGGGATGAGAGCGGCTGCTCGTGCAACTCCTGAGCCAAGCGTCGTGACCACTGCCTGAATACACGCACCACCTCTCTCCTTGCAGCGAGGCCCCCAAAGCCATGGCCGCCTCATGCACCCCCGCGCCGCCATCCCCACGACCCCTGGCAGGTCGCGCGCCAGGAGGCGGCCGGCCTGGGTCGCCAGGTGTCGGAGCTGCAGGCGGCGGTCGCGCTGCTGGAGGGCCAGCTTTCCGCACAGGTCGAGGCTGCCGTCTCGGCGGCGGCGCGCGCCGAGACGCTCGAGTCCCAGCTCGCATCCGAGCGCGCCAGCGCCGGCGCCGCCGCGCGCGACGAGGGCGCCCGCAGGGAGGATGTGCGCCGCATGGTCGCCGCGGCGGTCGCCGCGCGGGAGGAGGCGGCGGCGCGCGCCGTGGAGGAGGCGGCGCGGCGCGCTGCGGACGCGGAGGCGGCGGCGCGGGAGGCGCAGGGGCGCGCCGCCGCGGCGGAGCGCGTGAAGATCGAGCTCACAATGGCGCTGGCCGAGGCCGCGGAGGCGCGCACGCGCGATGTGGACACGCACGCGTCTGCAGCCGCACCTCAGGAGCAGCAAGAGCAGCAGAAAGAGCAGCAGCGCTCCCCGCGGGCGGCGGCAGCGGCGGTTGCGGGAGGGGAGGGGGAGCCCGACGAGGAGGCGGCGCGGCTGGAGGCGCTGCTGCGTCGCGCGGAGGAGGCTGAGCTCGCAGCGGCGGTGCAGACGCGCCGCGCGGCGGCCGCGGAGGGCGAGCTGCAGGCGGTGCGCGCGCAGCTGGCGGACGCGCAGCGGCAGGTTAAGGAGCTGTCCTGGCAGATCCAGATGGCATTCGGGCCCTCCACCATCGGCGGCGCGGGCGGCGGCGGCGGAGCGGGCGGCAGCGGCGGCGCGGGCGCTGGGCGCGCCGGTGGCTGGCTGAGCGAGATGATCGGCCTCAACGCGTGCGGGGCGAATTTCGTGCGCAAGCCCGAGCACGCGCCGCGCCGGCAGTAGCAGGCGCTGCTGCGTGCCTGCCGCTGCGGCGGGGGTGGGGGGCCAAGCGAGGGCTGCGCATACTGGGTTTTTTCCTGATGGGCGCAAGCCCTGCGTTGCTCAAGAGTGAGCTGGCGTCCCGCGGGCGTATCCTCATGCCATATGCATGTGAGGCACCGCTTGCATCGCAGCGTTGACCCACCCCGCCCTCGTTCATGCACCCTTGCGTTCTTCTTGGGACTTGGATCGCCACCCCGCGGCCTTTTGCACCGAATATGCTTGTCAGCAAACTCAACCCACCTGCCACTGCCTTCCTTGCTTGCGTTCAAGTGGGGCTGAACAGCCCCCACTTCAACGCCAAATGAGGCCACTGCACTGATGAGGTTCTGTACAGTGCAAGTGCAGGGCCGGTTTGCACGTCTTGGTATCAGGCCAACTGCGACGTTGTGACGTGCCACTGATGCTTAGCAGGTTTTGCAACGACAATTCAACTGCCCGCCCCCAGGCTGCAGCTTCCTCTTCTGCCTGGAAACTAGTAATGCAGGGAAACAAAGGCAGAATTTTTGGCGCCAGGCAATACACCTATCACATGTGAGACCCGTGGTTCTTTGCGGGCACAGCGCGCGTCACATGCCCTCTAGGACTGTATGTCACTCCTGACAAGGCAGTGGTACAGGCTCATTTCATCCACAGCCCAGCCAGGACAATGCATCCTGGGAAAAGCGGGGTCCTAGGAGCTTCTTGCCATTGTTCCCCTTGCATCGTGTGCCCATCGCTGTTTGGAGGAACGAGGGCAAGCGTGGGAGAGAACAGGGGGGTGCGCCGGTAGTGGCTGTGAGGGAGCACACCCAAGAGGTCGTGGCTGTGCCCTTCTGCAGGCAGATGTTTAAGGGGAGCCCCAACACGGTTACAAGATCCATTAAGCGTTCAAGCTAACCGCACTTCCAGAAGCATTACGTCGTCGGCAAGAACACCACGCTGAAGCAGTCAAAACGTCGACCTTCATTGAGAAGTACCGTACCGTGCCAGTACGTCCCTCGCGTTGGCGGGCGTCATCGTCATATTTTCATATCTGAAAACGAGGTGGGTCACATATCGTCGGCTGCCATGCTTGTAAAGGGACACAGTTGCTGCAGCCCTGGCCACGCCTCCCGCGGGGCTTCTCATGGATCCATGGATAAAGCTTTCATATGCAAGCGTTTAATGATGTCACAACCGATATAATTGAACCCGCGCCTGCATTTTGCCTGGCTGCTCCGCAGGTCCTGCACGCAGAGCAGCACAACCGACGTTGACCCACTACACCTTCAAGCAGGGCGAACCGCAACCATGCTGTCTTTCAGCAAGGGCGCCGTTGTTGCGCTGGTGCTGATGGCCTGCGCTCACTCTGCGGCGGCGGCGCGCCCCGCGCCGACCACCCTGTACGATGTGATCAGCCAACTCCCCGAGGTGTCCAAGGTGTTTGCCAAGGTACGTGGCTGGCTGCACGGGCAGGATGTGCCCCGTGGCGCACGAAGTGCACCGAGCAATGCGGTTGTAACTAGATTGGTCGGCGGACAGAGCGGGTGCGGATATCTGGTGATGGTGACGTGCTCTGGAGCGGTTGGCAGGCGCTGACGCAGCAGAGCGTTTGCTGTATTGTATGCATGTATGCAGCATGCGCCCGGACGGGTGCAAGCAAAGCTACCTATGCAAGCTGGATTCCCTGCTTGAATGGGGACGGCCTTGCGGCCAAAACTTGACACGTGCGGCTGGAGACTCAAAATCCACGTCAACTTCAGCTCGTCCTCTTCCCCCTTCTTCTCCGCGCTCCGCCGTCTTGCACCACAGGTCGAGCAGTTTGGCCTTGCCAAGCAGTTTCAGAACCCCAAGCTCGGCATCACCGCCTTCGTGCCCAACAACGACGCCTACGACCGCATCAGCAAGGCCATCAACAACAACCCCTCCATCCTCGATAACAGCGCCATCATCACGCAGGCCCTGGCCTACCACATCCTCAACAAGCCCCTCACCACCGAGGACATGCCCAGGGGCGTCAAATCGTACCTCACGGCCCTGCCCAACCAGCCCGTTGCGGTGCAGTTTAACGACAAGGCCAACCTCTTCAAGGTCGGCGCCTACAACGTGGTCGAGAGGAACATCCAGGCCGGCCGCAGCGTGATCCACGTCATCGACGGCTTCCTTGTCGCGCCGTCGCTGATGCCCACGCTCGTCAAGGCCCTGCGCGAGTCAAAGGCCGCCGCCGCGGAGGCCGCGCCCGCCGCTGCGGCTGCGCCGGCCGTGGCTGCCGCTGTGAAGAAGCCCTGAGCGGGACAAGGGCGCGTCGCATGGGCTTTTAAGGTGCCGCTCACCAGCGCACAGCCCGGGGGCGGTGCACGTTCTCCAAGCCCCTTGGCTGCCAGCAGTGGCCGCTAAGGTTCCATTGATCTGATTGCAGAGGCATGGCTGTCAAGGAGCAAACAAAGGGTCACCATGGGGTATAGCAGGATGCATGATTTCAAGCATTGACACTTTCACAGTCTACCCGGTGTGGTCCTCAGCGTTACGAGTCAACTGAGCTCACGCGAGGCGCGCATAGTCTGTGTGAATTTCCATAATATATGCAGAGCCTCACGACCTCGGCGATTGCAAGTCGGGCCACCCCCAGACTTTGCACGCCTGGACTCGCGATGATTGCTATCCAAACAGATCAGTCGCTCTGTTGACCACTCTGTCGATTGCGACTGCCAGTCGTGGTTTCTGGACGTCATGCCCTGCAGTATCATCTTGCACCGGAAACTTCAAGCGTTGTAAAACAAATGCTATGCGCACAGGGGCCCCCTGGCATCGCCTCCCCAAGGTGCGGGGAGGGAGGCGATGGTGGGCGGATGCTGTACTGTGGAAGAACCTGAACGAGGGGCCAATGCATTTTGCGGGAGCATGCCAGGTCTCCATTGAGCAATGCAACAAACACTTATTTGGGCTCAGCAAGCTGGGCCGTTTGCCATGATTCGGGCGCGCAGTTGTTTGGCAGCTGCTGGGCTCATTCCAGCACACACCAGAGCAGCACTTGCGCCCGGCGCTGATCCTGACTCGAACGGAACTCGTGCCTAACGCGCCACTTGATCAGCTTTGAAATTGCTTTGTAAGTAAGCCTCTGTTCGTTCTCGGGCAACGTAAGGCTCCAGATCGGCGTGTGGATCGTCATCAGCAGCACGTGGGATGGCACAAGAGGAGAAGCAGGATTTTAGGTTGGAGCTGGCTCAAAAGGTGAGGCCAGATAAGAATTGGTCGATGCAGATCATTACAGTGGGGAGGCAAAGGCATGACCAGGAGCCCGTTATGTGCAGGTGTTTATACTGAAAGCCAAGGACACATCGGCAGCAGACAAAAAACGGCTCCAGACTGAGATCCTGGATGTCTGCTTCAGCCAAGGTGCGGCGCCATTGCTCGCGAGCGTGTCGAACGGTGCCACACGCGCTGCACCAGCACATGCTTTTGCACAGGCTCATCCCGCACCTACACAGGGACTGGCGCCACTTGAAAGATGCTTCGCTCTGCGCGAGCGTGAGGCTAGCCCTCTGGCATAGCCCAATGGCATCGCCCAACCGCCCCTCCCCTGTCCCCTCCCCGCACACGGCGCCGCCTGCCCGCACGCCTGCCGCAGCGCTGGCGCCGCTCTACGAGCATGTCTGCAGCGAGCTGGGCCTCCCAAAGGATGAGGCCAAGCTCGCCGAGATGCGCAGCGCCAACACGCAGCGGCTGGCCGAGCTGGAGGCCAAGTTGAAGGACGCAGAGGAGAACCTGGGGGAGACGGAGGTGCGGGACGCGCTGCATGCGCGGGCAGAGTACCTGGGCAGCATCGGCGACCGTGAAGGAGCGACAAAGGCGTACACTGAGACGGAGGAGAAGACGGCGAGCGGCGGCGCCAAGGCGGACATTGTGTTCAGCCAGATCAGGTGAGATGCTTTGGGCTGCAGGCATGGGCGGGATGGCTGCAGCAGGTAGGGCGGCTCGCAATCTGCTTCACACAGCGACGGTGGTGATGGCGGTCGATTGTTGCATTTGCATCAGGGTGGCGTTCATGCAGCTTTTTGCAGTGAAGGCTCCTGCAAGCGGTGTAGCGCACGAGCGCAGCTGTGGCGGACCGCAAGGGTTGCATCCAAGTGCAGCAGCCCCACTGCTGTGCATGCATGGTTCCCCAAGCGGCCGGGCGTTCAGCTCCAGGGGCACCTACTGCAAAACTTCAATAGCGTACAATTTGATGCTCACAGTGCAAGTGCATCGCCCTCTCCTCCAGGCTGCAAATCCTCTATGAGGATTGGCATGCCGTCAAGCGGCTGCTGGCTAAGGCCAAGGGCATATGTGATGCGGGAGGGGACTGGGAGCACAAGAACAAGCTGAAGGTGAGGGGCCGTGCAAGTGTGTGTGCGTGCATGTGAGCACCTGCCGGTGGGGAGAGTGTGTGCGAGAGGGGAGCGTTACTTTGTACAGTGGGTACGCCGAGTGAGCAGCAACATTGTCGACTCCTGCCCTCCCCCAAGAATCACATACATCAACACACATATTTCTGAGTCGTGGCATGTCTCGCGCTGCCTGTCTATCTTCTCTTTGCCCAGGTCTATGAGGCGGTGTTCAGCATGTACACGCGTGACTTCAAGCGCGCAGCGTCCCTGTTCCTAGACTCCATCGCCACATTCACAACGTGAGGGCGATAACAGCCGCAGTTGGAAGTCCCTGAGGCCCCGGAAGGGCGCGACGGCGGCTGCAAGTGGGGCCTCTGCCTGGCCGACTGCCAGAGATGCAGGGCCTAACTCTTCGCACGCTGCTTCCCCGTCTGTGCCGCCCTCCGTGAGCTTTGCCGTCTGCCCTCTCTCGGGAGATCAGGACGCCGCCCGTGTCCTCCCTTCGCCCTGCACCAACGCGCCCCCTCCTTAACCCCAAGTCCCATCCGCCCGTCAACCGCCGCCCAACCGCCCCCAACCGCGTCCCGGCCCCGCCAGGTCGGAGCTGTTTGACTACACGCGCTGCATCACGTACGCGGTGCTGACGGCGGTGGTGGCCCTGGACCGGCCGGAGCTCAAGGAGCGCGTGGTGGACAGCCCCGAGGTGCTGGCGGTGGTGGGGGCGGTGCCGCACCTGGCGCCCTTCCTGCAGTCCCTGTACGAGTGCAAGTACGCGGATTTTTACAGGGTGAGTGGGTTTCATTGGGACATCGGGGATGAGAGGGGCCTCTTCCCTTGCGACTTGTGCATATGGGAGCTTGGGAGATCGGGGAGCGGAGCTCTGGCGGAGGAGCCGGGCGGGGCGCGTGATTGGGGGGCGTGGCAGGAGAAGAGCGGGACTGTTGGTCTTGAAGGTTGGTTGCAAAGGGAGGGGCGCTGTAGGAGGTTGTGGGAAGTGCAGGCAGGGTTCGGGAATAAGGGGGTCAGGGATGGTGCCAGTCAAGTGGGGCCCAAGGGGGCAATGCGAGAGGGATGAGGAAGGAACGGAGGAGGAGAGGGGCTCTGATTGCGCAACCAGGCTGTGCTATAGTAGGGAGCGGGTGTGGCGAGGTACGTGCGCGCGAATCTGGCTCTTTGCTACGTGCGTGGGCCAATTTCTTGCATAGGCGGCACATGTTGAGTCAGTCGGCCACCGAGCACGCCGGTCAGTTTTGCTTCGTCTCCCACACGCCCAAGTCATCACAGCTGCCCAGCTGCCCGACGAGAACCACCCATGCAACACCGCCACACTCTGCCCGCGGCCCCGCCCGTCGCCCCTCCCGCCGCCCGTGCAGGCGTTTGCGGGGCTGATGGACCTGGTGCGGCGCGACATGTACCTGGCCCCCCACCTGCGCTGGTACATGCGTGAGGCGCGGCTGGTGGGCTACCAGCAGTTCCTGGAGTCCTACAAGAGCGTCACGCTCGATTCCATGGCGGCCGCGTTCGACGTGTCGCCGGCGTTCTTGGACCAGGTGCGGCCGGGGGCCCGGGCGGCGGGTGGGCAGGCAGGCGCTGCGATGTGCTGTGCTGCGCTGCGCTGTGCTGTCCTGTGCTGCGCTGTGGTGCAGGGTGTGGGTCATCAGCGGGGAAGGGGGGGTCGGTGGATGGAGGGGAGGGCCGCGGCTGGCTCGATAAAAGTGTGAGGCAAAGTCAGGCAGGGGACTGCATGCGGCGCCTCGCCGGCCTGCCCCGCCTTCATGGCGGCGATTTGTGGCCGAAGAACCGTCTCAAGCGCCCATCACACGCGCCCGGCACACCCCACACACACACCCTCCCCCAATGCTCCTAAACCGCCCCTGATCCCAGGAGCTGGCAGACTTCATTGTCGCAGGCCGCCTGGGTGCCAAGATCGACAAGGTCTCTGGGGTGGTGGAGTCTAAGCGCCCCGACGCCCGCAACGCGCGGTACCAGGACGTCGTGCGCAAGGGCGACCTGCTGCTGAACCGCATCCAGAAGCTCAGCCGCATCATTGACATCGAGTGATGACGCGCAATGACGGGGCGGCGAGGCAGGTTGTGCGCGGCGCGCGGCGGCTGGCGCCGGCGGGTCCCCCCGAGGGGGCGGCCGCCATGGCCGCGACGGCCGCTGCGGTGAAGCTGCCGGTTACGCTGCGTGCGCAGGCAGCGCATACGGGATCATGGCGGGCCGCTTTGGCTCGTGTGTAATCCACTCGCCAAATGCAATTGTGGGGTCGAGGGCCTCCACCATCGGCTCCTGGCCCCGGCTGGCGGCAGCTGCACGATGGGAAGGTGAATGCAGCGCAGCCGTCCAGGTCCTAGCCGTCCAGGTCCTCGCCGTCCTTTCTGCCGACAAGTGAGCCTGGATGGCAAGTTCAGCGCAATCATATGCTTGATTCCGAACGCTCTTGTACGGTGGAGGACGACTGCACCGTCTGAGTATGTGGACGTGATCTGACGCCAATTCAAACGTCCAATGCTCGCAACCTCATTGAGATGTGCGTGTGCAGGACGCCTCGCTAGAGCCTTGCTTGGCGCCAACGACCTCGCGGCAGGACCGCTCCTGGTGTTGCGTGCGCTCGCACAAGCAGCACGCACTGCGCGTGTGCAGGTCGCCTTTCCACATGGCAACGGGTATGCAGCTGACGCGCAGCATGCTGTCAGCAGCAGCAGTAGTACCACCACTACCTCCAGCAGCACAATCAGCAGCAGCAGCAGCAGCAGCAGCAGCAGCAGCAGCAGCAGCAGCAGCACAACCAGCAGCAGTAGCAGTGGCGGGAGCGTCGCAGCCGTGGCCAAAGCTCTCGGCGTCTCTGCGTCGTGTGCAGAGCGCATGTGCCGCCTGAGGCCCAACCTCCGCGCCGTCGACCCCCTTGAGCTGGCCCGAGCCGCAGACGCGCTTCAGTCTCTGCTCGAGCTCCCCAGCCGGCACGAGCTCCAGCGGCGCGTGCTGGTCAACCACCCGCAGCTGCTGACCCAGCCGCCGCCCTCCTGGGAGGCGCACGTGGCCGCGCTGTCGGAAGGCCTCGGTGCGCCGCGCGGCGCGGTGCTGTCGATGTGCCGCAGGCACCCGTCCCTGCTGTACTCGGACCCAGACTTGGTGCTCAGCAAAATGGCGGCGCTGCGCGGCCTGCTCGGCGTCGATGCGGCGCGCGCGGCGCGCCTGGCGCAGAGCTTCCCCATGCTGCTGATCATCGGCGTCGGCAAGCCCGCGGAGCGGCTGGCCGCGCTGCAGGACGGGCTCGGGCTGGATTGGGAGGCGGTGGCAAAGATGTGCCTGGTCAACCCTCAGCTGCTGATCACGCCGGCGGAGACGGTGATGGCGAACAAGGAGGCGTGGGAGGAGGTCGCCGCGGGCACGGGGCACGTGGCCGACTGGAAGACGGGGCCGCTGCTGCTGACCCAAAAGTCGGCGAAGGTCACCGCGCGCTGGCGGCTGCTGCGGCGGCTCGCGCCGCTGCACGCGCCGTGGGCGGACTGGATGGCGCGGCGGGGCGGCGCGGGGTCGATCCTGTTTGGCAGCGAGCGCGCGTGGCTCAAAGTGGAGTTCCTGGCCGGCCGGCTGGCGCCGGAGGGCGCAGGCGCGGCGCCTGCACGGGCAGCAGAGGCGCCCGCCGCGGCGGCGCCGGCCGGTGGAGCGGGGCAGGCGCTGCTGGTGGGAACAGCAGAGGGAGCTGCACCGGCAACTTCGGCGCCAGCAGCAAACACCGGGGCAGCGGCGGAGGGGCGGCCCGGGACGCGGGGTGCGGCAGCGGCAGATGAAAGTGCGGCTGCGGGGCGCAGCCGCCCGGCAGGGGCGTGGCACGAGCCGGAGCAGCAGACAGTGGACCTACCGGCCAACGGCGTGGCGGCCGGCGGCTTGGCGGCCTCTGCGCGGCCTACGCTGGAGGGCGCGCCCTTGAGCTTACGGCAGCTGGTGGCTGAGTGGTCGTACATGAACGTCGAAGCGTGGCAGCCGGGATTCATGGCGTGGCTCGCCGAGCGGGGGGTCCCCTGCAACGAGCCTGCTGAGCCCGAGAGTGTCGCAGGTGGCAATGAGGAGGGGCCCAGCTGACGTTGATTGGTGGGCTGCCTGCTGCGATGGTGCCTCCCGGCTGAGCATCTCCTCTCTTCAAATCTCAACATCTCGCCTGTCCCTGCAAAAGTCCCAGCATACCCATGCTGCGTCGAGCTGCAAGCATTGCCGTCTCAGGTGCTCTGGCGGGTCAATCCTTGCTCTCTTGGAAACCTGCCAAATTCCATCGCAACACATACACACAAGGTCCCCTTCTGAAAACCCACACGGCACATCATCTGTAAATGCCTCTTTGCTTTGTAGCTCCATGCCGCTTTTTCACAGCCCTTGTATATGCATCAGGTTCCGTCATCATACCCTTCTGCGTGTTTGACCCAGCATGTTGTCAGTCTTTCAAATCTCAACCACAGCATCAACATGCACAAATTGCCAAGCGCAGTACCTCTGCTCTGCTATCAGCGGCTGCGCATCGAAACGGCAAGAGGGGTCTGCAAACCTCGTTGCACCTTTGTAAAGCGATGCAGGCACAGAAGGTCGGCTGCGCTATTGCGTGTCGCATAAATGGCGACCACCAGTGTCGTGTAGCTGCGGCCGCTTGCCTGCCTCTGGCCCCAGGCGATGCAAGGTTCTGAACGTCAACCAAGCCGGTGACCGCTCTTGGCCCTGCATGCCTAATTTGCTGGAGCAAGGGGCCAACCTACTGCCTGCTGCTACGCATTATGCTTGCATGTCTGAACACCTGCCAATTTCACAAGCACCTCTTCAGCTTGCACACGCTTTGTCAAGTGCGTGCAGTCTTCTGCCACAGGCAAGCATGGGGCCGAAATTACAAATGTCAAAAACGATGACCTGGCATCGCTGCGTTGGCGCAAGATGAAGATGATGCAAATATTTCGCAATACTATTATTTGGCCATTATATCTACCCAGAGCACACGCAGCCATGATGAACGCGTTGCTGCAGAACCTACACACTGCAGCACGTGCGCGCGGCACAACCCACCCTGGCGTTCATACAATAAGCGGCACCACTGCAAGACACCAAATGCTGGCCTCGACTCAGAAACGGATCCATCCCAACCTGTGGTAGTGCCGCCTCAGTGGTTGCTGTCCCACCAGCCTTTCCCCAGCTTAACGGCGACCTGCGGCCAGGGGAAAGGGGGGCGATACAGAAAAGCGTACGCTGGGCGCACCGCCGACACGAGCACAGGGGAGGCGGGTCAACAACAGCCTGGTCTGGTCGCGACACAGGCCGCCAGGGAGGCATCGCAGTATGATACGAGGCGCGCAACACCGATCTTGTTCGCACAATGCAGACCCGCACCGGCACCCAGCCTACCCAGAGGAACGCCACGTCAGCGACCGCGACCGCCACGGCGATGAGCCGCCGATTTTCCAGGATGCCTTTGCCCAGAGCCGCCACCTGCTCCTGTGAGGAGTGCCGCCGGCCAGCACAAGGTTAGATGGGGCTGGAAGACCACGGCAGCGGGAGCGGCGCACGCGAGAAGCGAGCTCTAAGGCGACGCCGTCGGGTGGGGGTGGGTTTTTTGGGAGTGGGAAGGCCATGGCTGTCTGTCGGCATCACAGGCACAGCGCACCTGTGCAGTCGCCGGCTGCTGCGGAGCGTCGCTGTCGTCCGCTGCTGCTGCCTCCACCTTTGTCACCGGGGAATCCACTGCCGCGGACGGCTCACCACCCACAGGCGCAGCGCGCATCGTGAGCGCGCGCTGCTGCCGCCGACCCGCTTGGGTCGTTGGGGCCGCCGCCCATTGCCGCTGCGGGCGGGACGGAGCTATCAAACGAGCTCGCGTTTGCAACATTTCCTTTTCAACGTGCTGGGTTGGCCTCGGACAACCTGTGACGAGGATGTCTGAGTCCGCAGGCTGAATGCCGTGGTTTTACTGCAGAAACTCTCTGCATATGTAAGTGGCAGACACGCCACATGTAGCATACGGTGGTCACCACACTGGCTTGCTGTCACCCGCTGTCGTCACCGTTCGCTGCATATCGTGGGGCCCGTGGGGCGCCGTGCCAGTGAAGCGAATGCGTGGCTCATGCAGCATCTTGAACTTGCTCTCAGAATGCTTCACACCATGTCTTACTCCCCACGCAACTTTGACTAAGTTGGACCGCAAATGGGATGTCGTCAGCGTCTCACGAGGGAGGAGGCGCTCGTGCAGGACGATCCGGTTTGCAGTTCAATTGACTCGTTGGAGAAAATGGACTGCTGCGATGCCCTCCAAATCCTTCCGTGCTCACATTCAGGTCGTTAAATTGCAGTTTCATGGCAACAGCAGTCAGGGGGTCAAGTCGAGCTGCGCGGTGAACCTTTGCACTCCGCAAGTGAGACCGACACCCTCGCTTGCGCCAGCCAGGCAGATGTTTGTTGAACAGTCGGAGAACTAAACACGCAGATGAGGCGGGGCGTGAAAATTGTTGCTCGGTGACGTGGTCACGATTGCCTGGGGGACAAGAGGAATCTTGGGCCTGTGCGATTCCACGCTGCCGACTGGCAGCCAGCGGCAGAGGAAGCAAGCGACCGCTGGGGCCGGCGCCCGTGGGGTGTGCTGCCCACCGCAGCCGCGGGCCCCACGCGCCCCTCCGCCCCAAATCTTTTGACATGCACCAGGTCGTCAGGTGCAGAGAGCTGGCCAAGTAACGGCTGCAACCCCCTGCACAGCAGGCTCCACACACCCGTTTCAGGGTGGCGAACTTCCAGACACTTTGCAAGCCCACAATGAAGCGGCGCCGTGAGGGCAGCGGGTGCGATGGCCTCGGGCCGCCCGGCTCGAAACGAACACGCTGGCGGGAAGTCGAAGCAGCGGGCGTATTGCGTCCGCACTGTTGGCCCACGGTGTGAAGGCACGATTCTAAACTCTGGAGCAACCGAATCGTGGCTCGGGGCAGCAGGCAAGATCGTTGAAACGCGGCGGCGCGAGGCCGCCCTGCTGTGCAGGACCTCACTGTTATGTGAGAGCGCAGCGGGCCCCTCGTTCTAGCACAGCCCTGGCCCACACCAAGGAATCACTCCTGCACACTCGTCCCTCCTGCCCCCCCCCCCTCGCCCTCAGCCCCCCACAAACGCACGCGAGCAACAGCGCGTCCCCTTATTCCCTCCCGCGCGCGCGCGACGCCCCGCGCCGCGCCGCCGACGGCAGCGGCGCACGTCTCTGGCGGCGCCGCCGCCGCCGCCGCCGCCTCACGTCGTCAGCACCGGCGGCATCGTCCCAATGCGCTGCCCCAGCACGCGGCCCCCCACGTCCAGAAACTCCTCCGCCCCCGGCAGCGCGCCGACCGCGCCCGAGGGTGCGACCGAGATTGGGTATGTCATCAGGTGACCATGCGGCAGCGGGACGCAGGCGTCGTCGCGGGCCCAGGCCATCCAGTTGGCCTCGCCGATGGCGCGCAGCCGGCTGGCGCAGTCGAGGGAGGAGGGGTCGGAC